CAGACACGCGCACGGCCATCCATGTAACGCTGTCATCCTGATTCATCACGTTACTGCCCGCTGTGAAGACACAACAAACCTCAGTGGATTCCTGAACATCACGTAGAAGAATGGTTCTCATCGAAACCCGAACATATCAAAATCGCTTTCCATTGTGATGATGTAATACACATGTCAGAAGGAGAACCCAAAATTGTGATTGTTCTTTGCTCGTGCGACGTAAGTGTGATGAATTGATTGACCTGAGTTAGATAGATAATGGTATTACTATTTAGTGATTTTTTGAGTTGAATATGCGTATTGCTAAATTCCTATGCTACTCAGACAGGTCGCGCCAAAATCATTTGCTTCATTTTGTTGATATAGTTACCCCCGACGATAGTTCATGGTATTGAGGATTTTCTTGCCACCCACGAGACAGAAACACCGGGAGGAAAAACTGGAATGCTATTCACAAATCTAGATATCCACGAAGACAGAACATGGGGGATGAGTAGAGTTCATTTTTTCATGACAAAAGTGGAGGATTCGATTCAGTCACATTGTGGACCTTGCCGTATACAAAGCAAATAAACCGTGCAGTGAACAGGTAAGAAGTGACGGTACGCAAGCATACTACTCACTCAGTCACGAGGTAACTGATCAGACTGTTTTTATTTTGACTTCATATCCACCTCCGAGGTCCCGGGTTCGATCCCCAGTTTGGTCGATGAATCCTCATTGCTGATGAAACCCATTCATCTGTTCAATGCTTCCTATCTTTTTAGTTCAAAATTTATTTGATCTTTACATGACGAAATTCATTATATAATTTAACTTTTTGTAACGGATTTTTGAAGACAAAGAAACTTGTTACCACAGTGAAAGGAACGTAATTTTTGAATGAAATTCGCATCAATAAAAACACAACAAGCGTACCACCAAGCCCAAAACCGACATCAGTTGGTCGGAAGTCAAACATACATAAGAGCTTACAAAAACTCATCCCCAGAGCAACCTGTGCAGTTGCCTGAATGTCTAACGGTAACACCTAATTTGCTATTAGATATCGTTTCCGCTCGTTAGTTGTACCGACAGTTCAACAAATAACAAGGCATCGGATTTTCCGATCTCAGGTTCGAGATTAACAGTAGCCTGTGGCGGCAAATGATTTATTCAGTTTACCAATTTAGCTTTTTTCTTCTGTCCGCGAGTCATTTCAGGAGTTCAAGTTTTGTTTTCAATATATATATAACTGTTTGATTTCAATCTATTTTGCATCACTGTAGGCTTTTTTTCTGCGGTTACCATTTTTGGTTTAAATACAAAATAATAGTAGTACTATTTATTGTTATCGTTATTTATCAGAATAGAGAAAAGACATATACTGCAAGATGTTTACATTTGTTTCAATCTTCTCAGTTTCTAAAATAATCTAGTATTTATAGAAAAATGTTTTATAACCACAACGATCAGGGGAAAGCGGGATAAGTTCCAGAATCAGTTCCGTGATACTTCGCGTGTGTCAACAGCGTTTGTGCGCACACAAAACTGCATCACCTAACTTATTTGTCACTTATCAGGTATCAATTTTTCACATCAACTCTTTGACCATAAATGAAGCTGACAATAAATTTTAAACAAAAACCGCGTGATCGCTCAAATTTTGCCTCCAAACATCGAGCAGAACAAAATTTAAACAACCACAGTGGAAGTCGAATCCGATCACGTAAAGTAGTCATTTGCAGACCATTGACCAGCATTCTTTCCGCATCAGTATTTCTTGTGTCCTTTTTGGAAACTCTCAATTGGCCTTGTAGAATGGTAGCGTTTGAAACCATCACCCTTTTGATCGTCGATCTGGTGTACCAAATTTACATCGTTCCAATGATGCCGACATCCGATTTCGTTTAGGATAATTTAACCAGCGGTTAAACTGGAGAAATTATCGCCCATTTATCAAAAGGAATTAATCGTGCTTAAAAACCCGCATTTAACCGTTCATCTCGTTAACAGTTAACGAGTTTACTAAAGTAGCAAAAATCGTGTCACCAACCATTTAAAGTTTCAGAAGACACTCGATTGTAAAGAGAGACAGCGTGAAGTCTTGGATTTGAATTTTCAATCATTGTCTTTAAAGAAATTCCTCAGTTTATCCAATCAGGTATACATTCGGAAATCATTTGACTAGCGTTTTGCTCGTCCTCAGACCACTCTGTAGTGCCTATCCATTGTCCACTTTGGTATCTGACCTCCATACCAATCGCATGGAACACGGCTTTTTTACTACTGTACTAACTAGCTCATACACTTCGGAGTGGAACACAATCCCTAATTAAAGATTTTTCACTTCCCTTCTTCATTGAGAGTCAAGTACTTTGATTGCACGTAATCTATCACCTTAAGTCTAAATCTTAACATCAAGTCAGGCCTTCCATGCAAACATTAGTACGCGTCACCCAAGTAAATCCTCTTCTCTAAACTTTGATCCTACACAAAGTTACTAGGGACTAGTGGTGTGCGATATGTGACCGAGTTTGACAGACCAGCCTTCAGGGTTCCTGCTCGCGCGAACTTATCCGTTCATTCAGCAAAAGAATTAAAAGCACTTGTCCGGCGTAACTTCTCACAAGTAACTCCGAGGGAACTGTGAATTGAAATCAGTAGTTTACTCGATCCAAGTCTGTAAGATACCATCAATACCGGTGCCAAGTTGTTTCAATACACTAAATTATGGCTTGGGAGTAAGTTTATGTTTCGCAGGGAAAGTTCATACATTCGTACGTACATTCACCGAAGAAGTTTATAAAAGAAACTTATACCCCAAAGGATATCAACTGAGAATCCATGTCAATAAATCTAAGTGAGACGGTGATCATTAAAGACAACTCATTCTACGAGAAATCACCTACGGTTTGTGATGGTAGCATTTGGTAAGAGATTCTAGTTGGGGGTTAGCAACTAAAGCAACTTCTGGTCCCAGTCACTAACATTCGAGAGGAAGATAAACACCGGATCCATTCCCTTTTAAGCTTTCAACTACACTAATGTAAGCCGAACAACAATTTGCTCGTCCGATTTGCACCATTCTTCGAATGCATCCGTATGCAACTATCAGGTGCACTTATAATGTAGCATTCACGATTTTGTAACAAACAACCCAGATAGAGGGTTATGCAATAATGAGACAGACTAAACAGCAAGTCATTATCACTTGGGACAACTTACCATTCTCTTCTGCGGCCAGCTCTTCCATTTTACGATAAGATTCCTTAAATAAGGCCACACACTTTGGATTTGTCCAATAGTAATCCTGTGCACATGAAAATTGAGTTGAAAATGTAGAAACCACTCAGACCCTCGTGACTGCTTCAAAAAAGCCGTGAAATCTTCTGAGTCCGGACACCCAGTACATGGGTGCGCTTGCGGCCAGTGCGCCCGTGACCAAATGGGGATATCGTAGGCGCATATAGGCAGCCAGCATTCCACCGTAACTGCGCAGTCACCGAAAGGGTGCAAATAGTGAACGAGCAGGCTTACCTGCCACCAAAAGCAATCACCGGAGCTTGAACCGCATTGAAGCGTTGTTTCACCTCTGTGATCAGATAAGCGAAGTCAGCTAGCGCCTGTTCTACAGACAAATATTTGATATTTGGTTGCGTGAATGAGTCAGAGAACGGTAAACTTTGGCCGTAGTAGCGCTACAACAACAAGTGAGTAAGAATAATGGGATCAAATTACATGCTCGGCGAATATGACTAGGGCATGCATTGTTTCGGCCAGTTCGAACATAAATCCGGTATTATTCCAGAAATTCTCAATAGAACCCTCATTGCCACAATAGAAAAAAATAGGCCCATATCCCTTGTAGCGATAATCTATAGCAGTAGGTTAACATTACAATTAACTCGGTAAGACTTACCTTTATACAGAAAACGTAGGCGGAATGTTTCACTTTTTGTGTCGAATGAAAAATGATCAATTTTTTGGATGGAATAGTCCACTTTGGGTGGCCATGGTATCTGGATCTTGTTACAACTAACCGTAACAAGGCAGAACATAAGCCATAGAAGTACACTGATGCGTATTGCTGAATTCCTCATATTAACTAGGAATCGTGTGAGAGCAAACGTGTAAAATTAGCAAACTAGACAAAAGTTCCGTGATAAGGAAGGTGTACAAAATTCCCGGAAGAGACATTAACAATATCTATTCAAATAATAAGTGAAAAACAACAAATAAACAAATAAATTTTCGACCTTGAGATCCGTAGTAACATTTAATAAGAAGTATTCCAATAAATTGAGTTCGAACAGTCGTCATTCGGCACTGTCCGAGGGACATTATTAGTGTATTCGTTCAGATATGTTTGCATGTTTCTTGTTGAAATTCATCTGTTGCGCGCCGTTATTCCCTAAAGCGTTTGTTGTAACGAAACTTAGCAAAAATACAGTGCTCAGATCTGGTAGATGAAACGCATGTGTTTTTTCTACTTCCATAAATGGAATAGCGATTTTTATTTTAACTGGATTATGAAGTATCACATTTTCCTTAAAGAGTTGCATTCTAGAGACGAAAGTTGAAAAAAATATTTGCAAACCTAATCGGATAAAATTTATTGTGTAAACTCAGTGATTGTGTCCGTCCCCGAACGGAGGAGTGTTAAAGAAGTCTGTTTAAATCATTATCGAATGCGCTGATGACTTTTCAGGCATAAAGTTATCCTAATTTTGTGCGACGGCTTAAGGAAAAGTCTGCATCAGCATTAGCAGATATCGAATCGCGGAAGGTTGCTCATAAAGGGAAAATCAATCAAGTAATTGGAATGATATTTCTTTAAGCTTCTATAATTTCTGCTTGATTCAGACCCAAGACAGTTGCTTTAAAAACTCGTCTACTTTTCTGTGTAGAACACTAAAACCATATACGGTCTAGTAGCGGGGAACGTGATAGTTGGTTTTGGGTGATTTCTGCCGCAAACTGCGTGAAGGTGTACCTGAGGTTGATTAGGCCTCCAGGATCCGCCCGTGTAGAGTAAAGATCTTGTCTAATCAACCTGCTGGCATTTCTCAACGAGGTAAAAAAAACAGTAGACGCAGGTCGCTAGGTGGATGTTTGCTATTCAGATTTCAGTAAAGTCTTCAACTCCGTTGGTCATGAGCTGCTGGATCAAAACATGCAGGCGCTGGGAATTCTAGGTAAGGCAAGAGAACTGATTAGGCAATTTCTCAACACACATTAAGTGTGAGAATTGGAAGTTACACAACCAAACCTAAGGTTGTCTCACAGGGATCGGTACTGGGTCCAATATTATTTCTGATATTCATTAACGATCTCGTGAGGAATCTCCAAAATTCTTGTAACATGTTAGCCAATAATGTGACGTTAGCTGGGGAAGGATGGGAACAAGATCTGGATGCAGTTCGAAGGTGGTCAAATTAATAGGATCTATCAATGAATCTAGGTAAGTGTCAGTTCGTGACCACAAGAACCAATACTGAAACGAGAGATGTAGTGCATTTGCAGCATGTCTCTGAGGCAAAGAATTAAGGGATTATGATTACAAATGACTTCAAGCCATCGCTGCAATACAAGCGTGCGGCTAATAAAGCTCAGCAAAACATTTTCAGGTTTTTCGCTGTTGCAAGTTGCAGAAGAACCGAGATTTTCCTACCTTTGTACAAATCTGTTGTGCGTCCTCGTTTAGAATATTGCGTACAAGCATGCCTTCCATCTTATTTTAAACAGGATAAACGACGTATTGAGAAAGTGCAACGTTTAGCAACAAAAATGGTAGCAGACCAGAAAGGTAGGGGATAATTCTAACGACTGAGGCCCTGGATCTGTTATTTCTAACTCGCAGACGACCGCAAGGCGACCTTATAGAGGCTTTTAAGATTTTCAAAGGGCTTTCGGGCCTAACATTTAAAGACTTTTCCTCACTCGTGCTTGCCAAGGACACGAGGAGGCATCAATTTTGACAAGAACAAGAAAGAAGTCAATGTGGAATAAATCTAATGGTTAGGTTCTTTACATCAGGGTTATGCCACTGTAGAAAAATTATCTGAATTGATGATTAACTGTATTAGTGTCGAACCCTTCAAGGGAAAGCTATAGGCCAGTGCTGGGCAGTAGCAGTTCCCGAAGTTAAATGTTGAAATTTAACCAATGGGCTTTACTTTCCAGAACTTTATAAGGGATCTGGTACTTCATACTAACACTGTAGAGTAAAAAGCAACTGCTTTTAAGAAAATACTATAGACTCGAATTGAAATCGTTGGTGATTTTTTCACTTGCAGGACCTAATTTCGAATCCGATGTTACCAATATTCTAGAACAAAACGCCGCTGACAATGAATAAAACTTGTATTTAATTACACCTGGTAAGTATTACAATGTTGTATATTTGAGACATTTAAAACTGTAATGACTTGGGCTTAACTGTAGTTTGTGATGAACCACCTACTGAAATAAAATGACAGATGTCATAATGGGTAAGCATTTAAAAATATCGCTCACCTTGCTGATAAATGTAGTAATTTAGTCGGCTTTAAGAGCGTTATAACCTTGTACCGGTGACACAATATATGTATAAACTTCGTACTGATTTACACCTATGTCATCATAAAAAACAATTTATGTATACATTTTGATACCTTTTTTCTTTTCAGTATTTTGCAAATGCTGTCTACAAACATCAATTTTTGGATTACAGTCATCAAGAAGGAATCCGGATACCAAATAAATTTATTCAAAAGCAGCGATACGTTCTGCCTTTCATATAGCCATCCTGATTCCATTTACACGAATATATTTTTCATCAACCTCTGTGGTTATTTTATTTGAGTTTAAGACGGGATTAGGCAGAGTTGAATGTTACCAGGCGTATCCCCGGGTTGTGGATAGGAGGATACCTTCACCGAAGAAAGTTAGCTGTGAATATACTGTGGTATACTGCAACAAAAAATCAGTCACGAACAAC